ACCCCCACCGCCACCCATCTCACTCTCACATATTGTCACCAGAACAGACATAAGACATAATCTGCGCATTGAGCACGAATATCAAACGAAAATTTACCTGTACACACAGAAAACGACGTAGTTCAGACAATTTTAACAGTAAATTCCTGAAATAACTCTGCAACACTCCCTCCTCCAAAATCCCCTTCCACCCTAGCTTGGCTATTGTGTTTACCAGTATTCGGTATGATTTTCCTCACGACACAGTATGTTGAAGAAAAAAAGACTGGAAAAAGAGGCAGAGGTAGACTAAGAATATATTTCTTAGAAAACTAAACCTTGCGGGCTCTTGTGGTCTTGAGGTTACTGTGCACGCTTCTCATTCAATAGGTCCCAGATTCGAAACCTGACAGCGACAGAAAATGTTCTTGTCTAAAAAAAAATCTCCTTTCACCTCCTTTCCTGCTCTCCAACCATGTTCTGTCTTCTGCTTTCGTCTCCACCTTTTGCCCCCCAAAAAAAAGCTCCTTTGCCCCCTCCTCTGGGTTCCGGACTCTTTCTGCTGACTTTCATCTGATACTCCATGGTTCCTTTATTCTGCTGTCTTTCAGCCACACCCCGGATCTTATGGTAGGTAACACCTAGGCTTCTCGAATAAAGGCGGAAAACCTCGGAGGCGCCGTGGGCAAGTGGTCCAAAATCGATAAGAGTAGGCTAGGCTTCGGGCGCCACCCGGGTAAAATTCAAAATTTCCTGCCAAACTGAAAATGTTTAATTAAGTGTCCCGTGCGCTCATAGTATGACCCAATGCAGTTGTGAGCGCCGTAAAACACTTACCAAAAAAAATATATTAAAAATTAAAAACGTCAAAATGGCGTACCGTCGCGTGTTGTAGCTGATAAATGTCGGGATGACGAGAGAAGCGAGAAACTCGAAGATACAAGTGTCCACAATAGTGATCACGACGCCTTTTCCCTGAAAAAAGGAACAAATAAATATCGTCGATTGGGATGGGCCTGAGAGAGTTGAAACTTCTTTCGTGACTATCGATAGGAATTGTTGATAAGTTTTAGTAAGAGTTTTAGGGCACTTGCAACACAATCAGGTCCAAAAAAATTCTAGTACTAAAGGATTAGATATATGCATTATAAGAGTGTAACGCTTAAACAAAAGAGGGGGAACGAACGGTAGGTATCTGATAGGAAAGAAGGAGCAAACCACACCAGAGCGCCCCACCCCAAACCACCCACACCGGTATGGGAACACATCACTGACATGTACTTTTTAGACTAAGGACAGAGCACAACAGGATAAAGGCACGTTATACTATAACTTATAGTACCGGTATTAAATACATAAAGCTAAGGATTGGCCAGTTGCAGACGTAATAAAAAGCAACAGCAATGAATAGATTAACTAGTTATAATTCATACAGCTGATGTCATTAATATGATTTCTTTATTAATTATAATATGTGATTGTTTTTTAAAGTAAGGTGTTCCCGCTTCCAATCCGGACATTGGGGATTGCCTTGATAGTCAAACAACTTCCCGGGCCTTCGGCATATTGTGGTCGCTTGGCCAGTTCCTTTCCAAGCCGCCTTTACTTCTTCATATTATTGTATTTTACATTAGCCAACGAGTGAAACAAGCAGCATCACATGATCGTCACATAAAGAATCAATAATCACAATAGCGTCTGTAGAAACAAAGACAATAATGTATCTATCTATCTATCTATCCACCTACCTATCTATCTATCTGGCTACCTAGCTACCTATCTATCTATCTATCTATCTATCTATCTATCTATCTATCTATCTATCTATCTATCTATCTATTTATCTATCTATCTATCTATCTGTCTATCTATCTATCTATCTATCTATCTATCAGTCTGTCTCTCTGTCTGTCTATCTATCTATCTATCTCACCGTCATCAAAGCAGACAACCCATTGAAGAAAACGTGAGCGACCATGAAGACGCCACAAGCGCCGTAACAAGTGTCCACGCAGTCGTCACACATACGATTTCGAAGCGCCTCTCCCACGGCGCACCCATAGCCTGTATGTATAATATAACATACGATACACGCACAAACACACACACACACATTTACAAACACACACACACACACACACACACA